CCCGGCCCCGGCCCCGGCCCCTCTGCCCGCCTCGCACCCTCGCGTCCCGCTACGAGGCTGTACACAAACGCCCCTTTGCTTCCACTCAACGCAGTTTTTGCTAAGTCCGTTACTGCTGTTTTACCGCGGATTTTAGGCGTGGTAGAAGCATCCCGGCCCTATTAAAAGTGTGTGTTTCCTGCTTGAGGTTTACTTTTTTGTTCAATTATTCTTAGCACCTTTACGTAGACTGATAAATAGGTGGTTAGAATCTGAACAGGTAATGAACTTGCACTGATACACTGCGTTAATAACCCGATTGATTAAAATGCACTTCCTGCTTGCTTATCTAACTGCTGAACGCTTCATTCTCAGCCCGTTTCCCTGAGGGGGCAGTCTGCTTTGAGTGGGGCAATACTGGGCTGAGGGTACACGCCACCGAAGTTGAGGGAGGACACCGGATGTTGCTCAGGAGGCAGGAGATGAAGAAAGCAAAGGCAGCGAAGGCCATCGTTTTGAGAGCACAGAGAAGAGGTAAGAGCTGTGGCTGGAACAGAGAACGAGGCAGGGAGCTGGGAAACAGCAAAGCTTTTGCCGTTGCTGGGAAATGCCAGCTTTTTGCCTGGCAGTTTGGCAGCAAGTCACCTGCGAGGCTGCAGGGCAATCAAACTGGCTAGCTGTGCTAGCTCACGTTTGCCTAAGATGGGCAGATTGAGGAGAAAAGATAAAATGTCATGTGTATATTACAGCATGACACACCAGTAACCGACTTTTGATGGAGACAAGCACAACGGTACCGACCGCTTTTCTCAGCCAGGGCTGTCGGTGCCCAGTATCGTCCCTCACTGCAGGCTGCTGGGCCGGGGTCCCGGCTGGTTTCCCTGGGTCAGGGCAGGTGGAGGCTCCTGACTGCCAGGTGAGCTTTGTGCAAGGAGTAGCGAGTTGTACAGGCCTCAGCACCTTTCTTTGTCCGAGCTGCAAAATGCCCGTAAAGCATATGTCAGTGCAGGCATCTCATACCAAAATCCTACCCAGCTTTCAGGATGTGGAGAGGCGGCTTGAGCACTGCTGGCGGTGTATTTCTTATCCTTTACTTCTTCTGAGTTATTTATTCATCCTTTCAACATGACGCTGCCTGGTATGTTGACTCTGACGTAACTAGACCATACCTGCAAAAACGTCGGCATTTCAATGTCAGTGCTCTAAGGCTTCTCACAAGAGGGCAAGAGATTCAGGACAACCAAAATGTGCAGTGCGCTTGAGTAGTTGTGCTGTAGCATGAGCTCAAATGGATGGCATTGGACCTAATTATTTACACGTATTTAACCACAGAGGGGGTCTCCAGGCACTTCAGCTCAGCATACCCAGGTGAATAGAGGAACACAGACCGGCTGGTCAGAAAACACTTCAAAACAGTGTGAGAAAGACTAATTTGCGGCCTACAGACAATTACCTAGAATTAACTTGCATAATGAAATTACTGTCAATTATAATGGGAGTAAGAACCTTTATGTGCCAGATACATCGTGCAATTATATGGTGTATAATTATATGGTATTACTGCAGTGTCAGTTATAAGGATGTAAATTGCTTGTATACATAAGCCTCTGTCTTTAGAGAAAACAAAAAGAGGCTGATAGTTTTTTTCCTGCTTGATTCCTGTAGAGAAGATGATATTTGACTAGTTCCCAAAATGTCTGTGGAAACAGAGGAAGAAGTGCTATTGCTTTTTACGTTTTATCTTCAATGTTCTGTTATTTAAGTGTGTAATATTTCATGTGCACCCAAAGTTACAGTGATCATGCTTCCTACTGCATCTGTATAAGAAAAGGCAGGAAAAGAGATTGACAATTTTGGCAGTGAGCATTTTGAAGGGAAAAACCACAAAAAAATCAGCATAGAAAAGACCCAAGAAGAGGAAAATAAGACCCAGAAGAAAAATCGGAACGTTTGGCTGAAAAAGAAGGAATAGACTTTTATGGAGAAGAAAGCGGACAAGCTTTGACTATTAGCTTTAAGCAGGAGAGAGAACAACCAAAACTGACCTTACAGCGTTTGAGCTTTGGTGATGCAGAAGAGATGGTGCTATTACTCACTGCAACACAGGATGAGAAAATGAAGAGCACTGCTGCAGAACAGTGAAGTCAGTTTTGGCTAAGCCAAATGTGAAAAGCTGGTCAGTCAGCCAAGACTGAGGATCTGAGAACCTCTAAAGGATACGTGATTAAATGGAGAGGAGAAAAGACTAGCATGGATAAATGCAATTGAAAGTTGTCAGAAATAAGTGATATATAAATCCTTGTGAACAACTGAAATCACTTACAAACACGGATGTAGGGCTGCAAGACTTAACCTCCAATGGGCTACCCAAGGGCAGGATTCCCTGCTGCTCTCCGACTGTTCCCTTTTTCTTCCTTTCTTTGCCGGAGCAGGGTGAAGCCGTTGGTGCTGAATTGCTACTTTAGGAAGGTTTTACTCATCTTAATCATTGATGATCAACTGAGCAAACTCATAGGATGAGTAACGGGCTTCCTTAATTTTAATTCTAAAAATGATGGCTGAATAAAGAAACTGATTAAAACGTGTATCTTTATTAAATTCTTCTGAAACAGCCTAGTCATCAGGATTTACAATTATTTTGCCTTATGAATTCTATAAGGAGAAGTTGGAGACAATCAAGTAACAGGAAATGACGGTGTTCCTAAGTCTTATCAAGAACAGCAGAAAGTGATCCATTGACAGGAAGTGACTACACAGCTCTAAGCAGCTCTGCACTTCAAGGGAATTTGAAGAAATATACTGAGAGACGTGACTGTTCTTTTACTAACGATATTAAGATCCTGATGATAACTCTGTTACACTCTTGGGGGAAAAAATGAAATAGTTTCCAAGTTCCATTAAATAGCTCACCAACTTGCATTACAGGCACAGTACTTGCTACTGTCTAAACAGGCTTTTGCTTTCTTTGTCTTTAATACTGATATTTTTTACTGCGCTTCTAGGGGAAAAAAAAAAAAAAGAAGGTAAACACTTATCAGGCTAAAGCTCTTTCTCTTCCTACAGTGACTTCTCTGTCCAGTTAAGTCACACCATTATTTATAAAATATCATACAAGAAAACAACTTTTTTGTAGACAGGTCTGTAAAGATTTTGCTCCTTTTCTTGGGGGGGGGAAGGGGGGGAGGGGAGAGAGAGAAAGAGATCTGTACAGACACGTGCAAAATACCCATGCACTGAACACACCAAAGAAATTCATCTCATAAACCCACGGAGAAGCTTAGAGTCATGTGCAGATTTTATCTGTTACAATTACGTAGCTCTTCTTAGCACACCTGTATCATCATAACAAATTATCAGCTTCTAGATTACAACATCTCCTTAGATAAGCCTATAATGATGATGGAGCTTTATAGATTTGCTATAACAGAAAAACCCATCTAATGTTTTCCCTTGCGAGTTTGTTGTTCTGTTGCTGACAGCAAACATCTCCTTAATCACAGTTCTGCCATGCCTAAACATTTAATTGTCAGACAAACTCAGAAAACTATGATGCTGACTTAAAGATTATAATTTCAAAAATGCTGCTGGCATATTTTAGTTGCTGTTCGGTTTTTGAGCTTTCAGGAAATACTTAGCTCTATTTCAAGCACACACTTAGGAATTTATCTTTTTAATTGATAGTCTCATATGAGACTATTGGTTCCCAGAAGCTGTACTGTAAGTAAATCAGCAAATATTATGATAGTAGCCTTTGCCTTTATGTACTATTTATCAGCTCCATAAGGAGAGAGACCTTTCTCAGCCTCTCACGTAGCGAAGGGTGTAGGCTATATTGTTGCCCTTGCACAAGCTCCTTTTGTCAAGTGACCAGCAATTAAACAGCCCGCTGAGAAATAATTGTGCCTGGTCCTCCTCATACAGATGGCATTACTGGAACCAGCAAGGATGCATAGCGGTAGGGTTTTGTAATGCTGGAGCAACTCAATGGTCCTGGAAGGGACTGATAAAAATATTACGTTACAGTGTGGCTTAATCAGATCTCACTACTCTCAAGACTAAGAATAAAATGGTGACATGAGATCTTCCACCATCCTTATATCCTGTCAAGAACAAACCTTGGATTAAATCAAGGATTTAGCATATATCCCTTGCCATATTTTGCTGACATGCTCTTATGACATGTAGGATAGCAACAGAACACTTGTGCAAGCAGTCAAATCAAAGGTTTATAACCACGCTATTGCTTAACGAGGTTAGTTCTGTGTTCTGAAGTCACTTCCAGATAAGGAGTTTGTTCATCTCTTATCTTAACTGGAGAACACGTAAAACTGAAGTAGAAATAGGTAGTGAATTTGAAACAGATTCAGATTTTCCCTGCACAGTTTGTCCCCTTTGCATTACCCTGGTCATGCTGCAGGGCTGACGCTAGCTGTGTCTGGTGAGCTGCGAGTTCCCCTCGAGGGGTTCCCCTTGTCAGCGTGTCGGAGCGACAGCCCGGGACCAAAGCAGGTCTGGCTGGAGTGCTGCTGAGTTTTGCCAGTTCTCAGAGGGTGGCATGTGCTGCCAGGTGGCAGGAGTTAGGGCTGGAGCCTCTGCTGCCTGATTCTGAAGCTGAGCTGTGCAGGATAGAAGATGATAAAGCCACAGACAGCTTCCTACACTCTGTCCCTTTTCCCTGACCAAGCAAACCTCCATGCAGGACAGCATGTGACCCAGTTTGTCGCATTGCTCTGCACCAAATTTTGAATTCATGCAGTAAAACTTCTGCAAAACCAAAGCTCAATAGGAATGTTTCCATGAAATTAAAGCACTCTAGCATTGAACTTCTGTTTAAAATGTCTTTTGATGGTCAGCCTAGAAGCTTTTCTAAGGCGTTTTGGAAGAACTTAGCTTGATTCCAGACTGATTCATGGTCCCTAGTCTTTCCTTCTCTTAACTAAATGCTTCCCCGTTCTTCCCTCCCCCCCCCCTTTTTTCCTCTCTTTCTTTTCTCCTAAATCCTGTTACAGGATCTCTAATAATTCTTACTGGTATTTTTACTAGTATTTTTCTGGAGTTTCTTCAACTTGGCCACCCACACCTGTGTTCAGGTATGGCATGCTATACTGAGCAGAGTACACCGGCTGCCATCTCACCAACGACAAGTAGAGTGTAAGGATTACCTCTCACGCCTTAAACACGATACTCCTGTTAATATGCAGCTTGCTTTTACAACGGCATGGCATTGTTACCTTTGGTTCAGCTTACATCCCTTTCTATAGGGCTGATTGCCCCCCGGTATTAGAATGGTATTAGATTGTCTCCCCTGCTTTCACAGGGGCTCGCTAGCGCTCCCCTTCCCCCGCGTGATCTGCAGAGTCCTCTCACGCAGAACTGCTTTCTGGCTGTTGTTGAGAGACAGGATGCCAAGTTCGACAGACTATGGGTCTGTCCAAAACACAGATAAGTAATTCTCAGTCTTCTCTTTGTAGAAGAAGATTATTTGATTTCTGCAGCTGGTTTTGTCATGAAATGTCCTCATCTACAAAGGTGCCATGAAAATCAAGGTTAGAGAGAGCAGAAACATGAATCATGCTCATCTCCATCATGAAGAACTTGCTGATCTATGGAACATGGCACTGTCCCTGTCTATCCTTTTAGGATATGCAGCCATTAGTGGGAGTGGAAATTGTGACTGTGCAGCTCACAGTCTTGTCTGTCTTGAAGAATTACCTTTTATTATTCAACAAAAATCTCAATATACCCTGTAGATACAGTATTTTTGTTTAACATCGTTTCAGCTGGTAACGGTTAAGAACCCCACTGCAGTGTCTACAGCTCATTGACATAATAGGAACATCTAAAGAAGGAGAAAATGGTTGCACTTTAAAATGTGTTAGTTAAAATATTCTTCAGTTTCACATGATTTAAGCAGGAGTTGTATCCAGTGTAGAGAAGGAAAGTCATTTTAAAATAGGACAGCTGTTTCTTCCTCCCTAAAAACTTAAACTAATTTCTCTGAATGGGAATTCCTTTTACTTGGAGCTGCAAGCTGTTGTTTATATAACCTGATTTCTTTAAAAAAAGTCTTTCTGTAGCTCTTCAAGTTCATCTACTCTGAACCCATACCCATTGATTATTTTACCTGATACACGGTTAGCTACTGAAAAACGCAGAACAAGTTCCTTGAAACAGATTGTTTCAGTAAGTGTCTTGCTTTCCTAGTGTGTGTGTGTGGGGGGGGGGGGGGGGACGCTCGGAAAAACCCGCTCGTCTGTGCTAGTTTTTCCATGAATGCTTAACCTTTAGTTTTGGATTTATCTAGCAACAGGAGACCATTATCCTGCGGCAGCCCTGTATCTTTTTCACAACATCCAAATACAGATAAACTGGACTTTAGAGTTCCTTGTAATCGGTATACTTTCTTCTCCACATTATGTACAAGACGAGAGAGGTTTGCAAGGAGAAGATGTGCCTGGTGAGACTAACAGACACATAGTTGAGGGGAAAAAGGACGAGCGCTCCAGCTGGAAGTCCCTCCATTAGCTCTGGCAAGAAGCAGCCAGAGCACTTGCCAACCTGCAAGTACTATTTCATCTATATGTGCGTATGTGCACAAAAGTATATCTATTAGTTTTAATACCTGTTGCTTTAAATTTACGTTTCTTCCTGTGAAAGCTTAAAGTGGAAACGCTGGCATCTGAAATCTTGTAATCACTGCGTCCCGCAGGCTCCAGCCCGGGGCTGAGTTGCACTGGCAAGAAAAGTACTTGAATTAACTGGAATCAGCCACAAGACGAAATGAGATAGGCATCTCCCCCCTCCCCCCAGAACTGAAATATCGTATTCTTGCAGCACCGTCTGCAATTGTAAAGGTTAAAACAGGAATATTCTGTGCAGACAAGGTGTAAACTCCCAAAAGAAATGTGAGTGATTAACTGTTAACAGGGGAAGGGGAAAAGAACGGAGGTGTTTGAGACGGAAGCCGTGAAAGTAATGCTGAATCGTTTCTTTAGATGCTACTTTTGGATGTTAAATGTTCATCAACTAGGGAACGAACTGCAACCTCAGAAAGACTAGCTTAAAAATCAGAATAGGATTCGCGGAGAAGTGAGAGATTTAAAATCAAATACTTCAACTGCCTCTTCCAGGAGATTTTTAAAGATTACCTCGACGGAAACGAGTGCGAGAGACCCGTTATTTCAAACGACCCGCCCCGCTGCGCGCCGGGGGGGAGGAAGGCGAAGCGAGCGGGCC